ATAAAATTGCCGAACGGTCCCCCTGATATTTTGTGAGGTCGTAGACCGACCCTGGAGAGTAACAAAAAAACCTTTATTCCCGTCAGAAAAAAAACTATTTTATACTATTTTAAAGACAAACAGAAAATGACGAAGTATAGCATTCATTTGAGTAAGATTTGTGTTATAAATAGTGTTTATTCCAGGCTTTTTTTCTTCGGGGGTGCACTTGAAATTTTCGGGGTGGCGGACAACAATTTCCGGGGGGGGGGGGATACTGTCAAAAGTATATATTTTCTATATGAATTCCATTTTGTTCGGGGGGGGGGGGGCGGTAGACTTTCTTCGGGTGGAAGAAACTCTGGTTATAAATTAAGGTAGTATCCTAATTAAATTATAGAAATTAATTTTAAAAGTCAATGTAATATAAATTTTGAGTTAAACTATTCAGGGAACCTCCGTAGTTCTAATTACCTTTCGATTAATAGATTGCGAAGATTCCCTTAATGACTCTAAAATTAGCATTACCTAAGCACTCCACAAATCAGTCAATCTCTAATTAATTAAGCATTCAAATTCTCATATGTTTTGTGAAAACCTAAGCGAAGCTAGGCAGTATGCCTAGTAATATATAATTTCAAAAATTAAAAATTAATATTTGTGCATTTTTGCCTTGATATTTGGTTTGTAAACATAAAAATACTGTAGCTGTGGCATGATTATCTTGATATTACAGTCAATATACCCAGTGGCGTAGCGAGGTCGGGTGTCACCCGGTGCGGCACTTAATGGTGTCACCCTCTAGAGGCGTAGCGACCCTTCCCGGGGACAAACTTTCAAGTTTTCGATTTGCACCCCCCTCAAACTTTCGATTTGCACCCCCCCCCCCCTCAAACTTTCAATTTGCGCCCCCTCTCAAGTTTTTCTCTATATATTTTGCTATTTTATACCCCCCTAAATGGTGTCACCCGGTGCGGTCCGCCCCCCGCCCCCCCCCCCCCTCGCTACGCCTCTGAATATACCACGCTCTTCCACAAACACTAAACACCACTACATAAACTGTAGTTAAAAAGATAGGTAAAACATTGTAACCATTCGACCGGACCTTAAAAGTGTGCTGTGGCAAGTATGGTTCTCCTACAATCAAACGCGCTTTCGGTCAAAAAAATCTTTGGAATAAAAATATAAATAATTATCATTAAAAAAGTAAAAAAAAACCCACGTTTTCTGATTGAACTAAAAAGTAGAAAATAAATGCTATACATCACAATAATGCAAGCGATCATTCTACTATAAGCGATGAAAAACGTGGGGCGCCGAAGTAAAAGTTATATTACTACTGATTAGATAATACTATTGACTTTTATTAGGGAGCTTGTAGAGAGTCAACAGTATTAGAAACTGTAAGAAAATCACGGCGCCCCACGTTTTTCATCGCTTATAGTAGAGTGATCGCTTGCATTATTGTGATGTATAGCATTTATTTTCTACTTTTTAGTTCAATCAGAAAACGTGGGTTTTTAAACACTTTTTTAATGATAATTATTTTCTACTTTTTAGTCTTTGTCTGTTTGTTTGCATTAAAATCTTGCTATCGATTTTATCTTTTCGCATTCACTTTTTTTTGGGTAAACGAAGATAACTCGTAAAAAACACGTGCCTTGAACCCGTGTCGAGTGGGTTAGCAATCGTGTGCCCCACCACTCGACCATATCGTCTCCCCCATACTGGCCACCAGTTGTTCCGGTTGTTTGTACACAAACACCACGTGAACACTACTCAGTAAGCCAAAAGAGGGAGGGTACCGAACCTTGTTTTCATCAAATTACAATTACTGGGTTATGTCCCTTTCCCCCCCACGTTTTTTTGTACAAATATATAGCGGTCTAAAATGATCAATAAAATGTTTCCATTGATCAATTAAGTAATAATAACAATTGAATATTCTATTGTCATTGAAAACAAAGCTTCCCTGAAAATTTCAGCGCGCTAGCTAACTGGGAAGTGCCCGAAATTTCGACCGCAAGATTTGATTGGAAAAACAGACGCGAAAGCAAGTTAAAGAAAACGTGGTAAAAAAACGGGAAGCCGCAAGATAAGAGGCGTGTACAGATTTTGGGATAGGGGGAGCGGCGAGTCGAGAAAAAAGTGACATTGCTTCGCTAAGGTGAAAAATAAATTCAAACATTGCTCTGTAGAAAACAAAATACCATATAGTCAGACAACACAAAACAATTTATCATACAACCGAAAACAAGAAACGCAACACAATCTGTTTTGTAGGCGTTGTAAAAAAATATTGACATAATGTATAGGGCCTATTGGTTAAAACAAGTAAACTACAGTAGAGGACAAACTCACTCTCTTAATGAAGATAGTATATATAGGTCTACGCATTTAATTATAGGCTAATTGTTAAATTCAACAAGGTAATTCCCGCCCCCCCCCCCCACCCCCGACCATTTTAAGGATGGTGGCGCCTTTTTTTTTATGGAAAATAATGAAATAATACAGAACACAGAGTATACAAACAAACTGTGTCAACAGAGTTTCTTCCAGGCATCTCTTCGAAAAAATTTTATCGCCCCCCCCCCCCCCAACGAAATGAAATTTATATAATTTATATAGAAAATATATACTTTTAACAGTGTCCGCCCCTTCCCCCCCGAAAATTGCAAGTGCCCCCCCCCCGGAGAAAAAAGTCTGGAAGAAACACTGTGTGTCAACCAACTCGCGGTAACCCCCCTTACAATAATAAAGTAATTTACTAAGGTCTGCAGTGGCGGAATTAGAAAAAAAGGGCCACCCCGCAAAAAAAAAAATTCTGGGCCCCCCTCCTATATATATATATATATATATATATATATATATATATATATATATATATATATATATTCAAACATAGAACACAAATATTGGATACTCATTTTTCTGGCCTGATCGGGTTTTGAAAAACAAAAAATGTCTTTTTTTTTTCAATTTAAACAAATTACAACATGCCATGTGTGTGCATTAGTCTGTTTTGGATTATTTTTTTAAGAACTAGTTTATTCAATACGTTTGAATGCAGGGGGGGGGGGGCACGCCATTTAGGGGCCCATAGCCGACCATGATAAATTTTTTTATATTAAAAAATATAATTTTCTTGCATTTTTGACTTGACGGTAAAAGCTTTTGCAAATAACAAACAGATCTACTACAGTAGTAATGTTATACAGTAGCGAACACATGCGGTTGCGTAAACAAATATAATAATATGCCTGAGCTGTAGAGAGAAAGATAGGCAAACGTACAAAATACTTCCATGACTTATTTCCCTTTTTTTAATTTTTGAATAGGGGTGCTCATAAGCTCCTTTTAATATATTTGTACTAAACAAATTAAAAAGCAATTACTTCTCTTAATTATTTTTTAAAAAAAATACATACTAAAGAGTAAAGATTGACCTAGCATAAAAAGGAAATATATTAAAAACAAATAATACAAATACAAAAAAAAACATATTATAAAAAAACATAACACGAGAAACCATTACACATACAAAGCTTTCACGATTTATATTCTTTTGACCGGCTTTAGACTAGAAGGTAGGCAGTATTACAGCAAACATGTTGAAGAACCTAATTATAGATCTATATCTATTAAAAATATTCAAAACAGACTAATTCACTCACACACATGACATGTCGTAATTTGTTTAAATAGAAAAAAAAAAACATTTTTTTTCAAAACCCGATAAGGCCAGAAATGACTATCCAATGTTTGTATTCTGTGTTTTTGTATATATATATATATATATACATACATACATATATACATATATATATATATATATATATATATATATATATATATATATATATATATATATATATATATATATATATATATATATATATATATGTATATATGTGTGTGTGGGCCCAGAATTTTTTTTTTGCGGAGTGACCCTTTTTTTCTAGTTCCGCCACTGAGTGATAGGTGTCATAGCGTAAATAGATAGAATTAGACTAGACTAGTAGAGGTTACTGAGGACAGTATAAACTTGACGGTAGACTATTTGGTGCGAGAGTATTGTGCGCGTGTTTTTAATCAAATATTTGTGGCGTGAGTGTGACGTGAGCATGACGCGACAATGTTATCGATGACGTTGAACGCAGCAGTGAAGACAGTTTGGGGGTTAGCCATTGTAGGAAAAGGACGTGTTTTGATATTGTGTAATATATCTATAAGTGTGAGATAATAAAGTTAATGCTATTTCATGAACGTAGTTGTTAATATAGTTAATTAGTGTCTGCGGAAAATAAGAGTGTTACCGTCCTCCATCACAAGTGTAATAGTTGCAGTATGAATAATAGAAGTCAGAAAATATAGATGTTATAGAACGTATACAATAATCCTCCCATCACAATAGGGGATGTTATATTATTTAATAAATATACAATACTAGGCTATACACCATTGACGAATATTGTGTATTTTATCATGGAAAACAATTGTTGCGACTTTCATTGTTTTACTCTCTCTGCCCTGGCCATTCCTATTTACTTCAACGAGGGGTTAAGGGCGGTTTTTTTTTTTTTTAATTTTGGTTGACAAAATAGTTCTAAACGGCTTATATTCAATACAGAAAAAAAAAGAAAAATGAGTGTAATCGATGGATCTCAAACAGCTTTAGGTTTTTAAAATGTAAATATAATTTTATCGATTGCTGTATTTAAAAAAAAAATTCTTAAAATAATTAGTATGATTACATAGACTTTTCAAGCCTATTCACTTTTCTGAGAACCTTTTTTTAATTCTAGATTTTCCAGACTGCGTACGAGAAAATCTGAAGATCCTAATGACTCAAATTTTACTCGTACATTAATGCAAAATATTTAAAATATTGACAGCTCAAAAAATAAATAAATAAAGTTACGGTACTCGTATGTTGAGTAGGTCCACCGTCGCACGGTCATTTATTACTAGTATTACTAGATTCTAGGCCCTGATATAATTTTACTAAATTTCTTCCCTACCTTCCACAGTATCTTCTTTCCTTCTTTCTTCAATAGGTTCAGTTGATCCAGATGTGCATAAGACACACGAAGGTACAAAGCAAATCTAGAGAGAGCAAATTTAAATGGTTTCTTGATTGTTTTAAACAACGAATAGGTAGGCATCTAGAGCTAAACACTTTAGTGAGAAAATTATTCACTTTATTAAAGTATTGAAGTCAGTGAAGTAAATGATCAGAACTGAAGTCATTTGAAGTCAGTTAAGTCAGTCAATAAAATAGTTGAAGTCTTTGAAATCAAATTGAAGTCGTTGAATTCAAAGAAGGTCTTGATTTATATGATTAATTTTGGGGATAGAATAGAGTAGTAAGATAGTTTGTTGATGTATTACATTAGTAGCAGACGCTGAAAAATATAATTTGT